CCCCGCCCGGCCCCGGCCCAGGGCCTCCCCCAGACCCCCCACTCCCACCCGACCCCGCCGCCATAGCCGCTGACACGGGGGCCGCGCGACAGCCGCGCTTGGCGGCACCGTGGCAACCGCGATGGACAGACACCCTGAGGGAATACGACCGAGGGCTGGGGCCAGATATGCTTTACGGCACTGCCGGGCAAGTAAGCTGCCCGGGCTAGGGAACTAAGGACTACCAACGGTGGGAACAGAAGGACGACGCGGTCGGGGAGGCTTGCTTTACGGCACGGCGAAGTGACGGAGTGGCTCCAAGAGGGGTGAAGACTTGGGCAGGGAGCTTTTGCGACAGTGGAAGGAAAAAACGCCTGCCTGGGGCTGGAACCCAAACACTTTCAGCTTTGCGACAGTGGCACCGACGACCCCGCCCTCGCCGGGGGAGGTGACATCTTGAAGTACTCGTTTTACGTCAAGAGGGGGGGTGTCTTCCCTTTGCGAAATAGGCTTCAGAGTGCTATGAGCCAGGCCTGGAGGACCCAGAGAAGAGAAGCGGTAGATTTATAAGTGAAAAATCTCTGTTCTCCACACCACTGAGACCGGAAATGTCTTGCGACAGTGTCACAATCCCTCCACTTTGTATCACACCTCTCCTGGGAGGCAGAGCGAGTGGATTGTCGGGGGCAGCGGGGAAAGCTGATACCTCAAGTCAAGCCCAACCTGAACTCCAATTCAACCAAACCATTAGATTTTAAAGCTACAAATAAAGAGTACAAAGAAACCCCGACAAGCATTTTCAAGCAACGGTGCCGACGATCCCAAAAGATCCCCCTAGGGCTGTTAAACCCCCAGCCCAACTGCGATGCTCGCCGTTAAGTTGGAGGTCTGTGACATCACAATTAAGGCTTCTCGCCCTCTGGCCAGGCCCCCTGGCTATGATTGGTTGATTTGGATGAGGGCGGTGGTGAAGGAAAAGGGCGGGAACAAATAGCAGAGACAAAGAAAGAAAGTCTTTGGGTAGGACAAAAAAAAAAGGGTGGGGAGGGCCTCCCAGCCTGAGGCCCCTATAGGGAGTCTTGATTTCGCCCACTGCGGCTCCGCTGAGCAGAGGGGCGGGGACCCTGGCCTGAGTCCTAGTGTCCCCGCCCACCGCGGTGGGGGCGGGGCCTCGGGGTGGGGCTACATGGAACTGGGAGGCTGGGCGGGGTAGCTGAGAGTGGCCCCCTGGGGGGGCCATGGAGCAGCCGGAGGCTCTAGGGGCTGCTGGCCGCCTCAACCAGGAATCCCCTCGAGAGGCAATCAGAGGAGTGCCCGGAGGGGTCAGAGGAGTCGAAGTAGGCGCCGGGCAGCCCTCTGGAACAGTCTTGTTTCACGATTCTGGGGTCCCCCTGCACTCTGGGAACATGATAGTTCGCAGTTCTGGTTCAAGCTGGCCCTCCAGGGGAGGGCCCAGTCAGCACCCTGGGGATGTTACGGGCCACAGCCTTGGGTCCAGCACATACCATAGTGGATTCAACCCCCTCAACCCTGGAATCAGTGTATTCGAGGCTTACAGCACCGGCTCTGGGGGGCCTGGGGTGAACAGCTCGGGGTGCAGTCCGCAGTCTGGTTCAACTTGCTTGCACCCCCACACCTCCCAGGAGGACCGGCCTCGGAGCATCCTAAAAAAGAACAGCTCCATCTTGATGCAGAAATCCCCCACTGCGGAGAAGGAGCCCAGCTCTGCTAGCAGGTGGCCCAAAGTCCGGAGGGAGGGGTTCAGGACCCTGGCGGGTGAGAGCCAGAAGGGAAGGGGAGAAGTCCTGAGAACTAGAAGTTAGAGTAGATGAGTGCAATCGCTGCTCTCCCAAAGGCTCCAGGCCTTTGGGAGAGTAGCAGGTGCCCCATAAATCCTGGCTACATAGCACTGTGATTATCACTGGGTCTGACTCCATCCCCAGCCTCTACAAGGGGATGTAAGAAAAGTTTTTTGAATGACTGGAAGAATGAGAGAGGGCTGTGAGGAAGGGGTTACAAGAAGTTCTCCTCCCCCTTTTCTGTATCATCCTCTTACGCTAGGAAAAAGTGTCAGCACTGGGATGAGATGAATATCCTGGCCACACACCACCCCCCTGACAAGGACTACGGATTTATGAAGGTGGATGAGCCCAACACTCCCTACCACAGGTGGAGCCCTCAGCCCTAACCCTTCAGCCTGGACTCTTCTCTGTTGGAAGGTGGAGACAAATGGAGAAGGCAGAGAAGCCTTAGAGGCTGGATACTGCCTGATGCTCCTCCCCTGCTTCCCCTTCCTCTGCAGGCTAGAGGACAGTTTTGAGGATCTCACTGCCGGGTCCTCTCACAAAGTGACTCCTGAAGCACTGGCAGAGAGGTGAGAGTCCTCAGAGATAAGTTGGAATGTGGGGCCTCTTCCTCCCTTCGCCCCTGAACTGAGGTCTGAGGCAGCTATGCTTTTTGGCACCCAAAATGAAAGGTACTACAGTTCATATCAGGCCTGACCAAGACTGACTGGGAGGTCAGCCAGCTTGGCTCCATCTACCACCTGCCCCCATTGTTGTTCTCTCCCTTCGGTGTCCTCAACTAGTTTCCCTCCTCTTCAGGCTTGCAACAGTGGATGATTTCTGCCCCAGGGTCCTCCAGTATGGTGATAACAGAAGCTCAGGGTCTCCAAACGATGTTCCCAGGAAATGTGAGATGAGGATTGGGTATCGAATGGAAAGGGGAGGTGGAGTGAACTTTCAGCAGGAGCCTGGTGTGAAAGCCAAGCTCTCACAATGGTCCACAGACTCCAGTGATTTTGACAAGCGCCGCAAGGCACACTACGATGAAGGGAAGTTCCTCAAGGCTCAGAAAAACCAGCTCTTGGATGATGACGAGGACAGCAATGGGGGTAGTGTCAGTATCAGCAGTGGCAGTCAAGGCGTGATGCTGAACCCAGAGCCCAGGCCTGTTCAGAGAGCCTGGGCAGGAGGAATGGCTAAAGAAGTCAAAGATGAGACTGCCTTGGTGACCAGGAGCCATATCATTGCAGTCACAGGTTAGCTATGGTGGGGCACCAGGGACTCAAGGGAGTGGTAGTTCAGAAGTCTGCATCATAGTCTGTCTTCCTCAATGGACATCAGCCCAAGGTCTTGCTGCCTGTCATGGAAGTAATGCTGGGAGGTGGCCCCAGAAAGGAGTAGGGTCCCCACTCAAGATAGCCCCAGAGATGGTTGGCTGGTGAGAAACAGAAAGCTCAGGAGAACCATGGGGCATGGAGTGGTCACTGAAGGTTTTCTCAGGTGGATGGTGTGAGAGCAGTAAATGAGATGAGGATCTGGGACTTGAGCTTCTCCCCTGTGGTGGGGTCCCATGATGGACACCTGGGAGGCATGGATACACCAGGTGGCCATAAGACTCAGATTAATTTAGAGGTTCCTCAGATTCCTCTACCAGCAGCAGTCAGTCCTCCCTGGCTTTGCCTATCATCGTGTTGGAGCAGGAGATTGGTCTGCAACGGAAGGAGTATTACAGCAAAGGAAGATACCTCAGGTCCTGCTCCCACCCAGAGCTTGAGGAGGACTCAGAAGATGAGCAGCAGGACAGTGAGAGCCATGGTGGGCCAGCCTGGGGGGCAGGGGGCCTGAGAGCCACCAGCCAGATGGGTGCCCCAGCCCTGATCCCATGATTCTTCCAGGCTCTGCCAGCTTGACCTGGGTGATTGAGAAGCCCATGAGCACTGAGGTCCACCTACTGGACCACATGGGAAGCCCCTTTAGGGATTACAAGGCCACTGAGAGCTCCCTGACAGTGACAGTGACATTATAGCAGGCTGGTGAGGGCACCAGGCCACCATCTCCTTGGGCCTGGCTCTTGGCAAGCTCCCATCTCCTGACCTCCCAATTCTTTCAGGCCAGTACCTCAGCAACAGGTGGTAAGAGAGGCCCTAAAGATCCTGGAGTCCAAGACCCACGTTGCACAGGAGAGGAACCAGGGAGGCTCAGAAGGGGCTGGGACCCCATCCAGCTTGGCACTACCCACTGGCTCCATTTCTCCTCCTTGACTCCTCTCTGCCACTCCACCCACTCCAGGTACTTCCAAGTCCTCCAAAGACGAGTCTCAAGTGATATCCACCTGTGGTCAGTAGCTGGTGGCCAAGGGGCTGAGCTGGCAAAGCCCAGGGAGTTCAGAGAGGGAACATGGAAGCAATCAAAACCCCTCAAGCTAGAATGAGTGCAGACATGAGCTTGGGCAGAGGCAAGGGTGTGCTTGCACTGGCCCCAGAGGCAGAGGGGTTGGGTAGGAAGGTTCTAGGGAATCTGGGGGTCACATGGGAAAGATTTCATGCCTGATGCAAAAAAGCCACTAACCCAAACTCTTCTGTCTGCAGATGAAACTCTGTGGCTTCAATGGACTCAGGAAGAAGAAACCGAACAATGGGAAATGTAGCCAACTGAGGGTGGGGTGGTGGCCCCTTCCCTGCCCTCACCACCCTAGGGGTGGACAATAAAGAGAGGAAGAGCAGGAGTCTGGGGGCTGTGAATCAGGTGCCCAGGATGAGCCTGCTCAGTCGTCGAGTGGAGGGTGGGGGGAGTTCACATGCAGGAAACCACGAAGGCAGAGCCGAGAAAAGAAAGCAGGGAGCAGTCGTGGATGCAACAGGAACATAGGATCCCGAGAAGGCCCAAGCTGCAGCAGGATGACAGTGACTAATGCAATTAATTTACTGAACCATAAATTTAGCAGTATCATCTTCTTTAATTCTTACAGCCCTAGAGGTAGGGGTTATCATTCCTATCTTTCAGATGAGAAAACTAGGAATCGGAGAGCTTGCCCACGGTCACACAGCCTCCAAGTGAAAGAGCTAGGATTTGAACCTAGATCTGCCAGGCCCCCAAAACTCAACCACTAAAGGACAAAGAAGCAGTCATAGACTAGGGTGCCTAGGAGGAAGGTGACAGCAGATAGTCTCTGAGGGCGGGGCTGTGGCTTCTCTGATCTCAGGCCCCCCTTCTCTGCCCTGGCCCCGCCCCTGCCCCTCCCAGTGCTGCCTGGAAGTGTGGGGTGAGAGCTCCTCCTAGAACACCCCTTCCCCTTGGGGAAAGAATTGTGCCCCTGGGCCCTACCCAGCAGAGGACCCACTCCTCCTTCCCTGTCATCTCCCCTCCTGGGGCAGGGAGTGGCTCCACTTGCATCCCCACCTGCCAGTTGGCCCACAGTGATCAAGCTGAGATGACCGTCAAGCTGGATTTCGAGGAGTGTCTCAAGGACTCACCACGTTTCCGGTAAGTATGTGTTGGTCTGCCGGGGGCTGAGGAGAGGAAGGTCTAACATCCCCCCATACACATATGCTGCGCGCACACACAACTTTCCCCTGGCCGGATCTTCTTTCAGGGAGTAGGCCTCAAAGGGGACAAGAGTGAGCTTGTGGGCCAAAGTGGCACCTCTGCTATCAAACCAGGGTATTCCAGTGCCCTCCGCCCACTGCATGCACCTCTTGGCCTCTCCAGCCTCTCTCTCACCCCGAGAGCTGGAATTCCCTCCTGACTCTCACTAGGACCCCTGCCCCTCCCCCAGCACCTGCTCTGGGGCGGTTAGCAACTTCCTGCCCTCGCCACATCCACCCTTCTTCTACCCTTCCTGCTCTGGCCCTGGCTGTAGTAGCTCCCAGACGGTGCAGAGTGAGCGGAGCAAGAGAGCGCGGGTGGGCAGGTCTACTCAACCCAGCAGCTTCCTCGGTCTGTACCCACCACCCTGAGACTCCAACCCTGACCCTGACGAGGCAGACAGACCGATGGCCCCAAGCTCTGTGCTTGTGACCCCATCCCTTGTTTCCCAGAGCCTCTATCGAGCTGGTGGAAGCTGAAGTGTCAGAATTGGAGACCCGTCTGGAAAAGGTGACCCTGACATGGAGAGGTGACCCAGGAGTGGGTTAGGATGAGAGGGGTGGAGCCAGGGAGAAAGTTGGAGACAGAATGAATCCAGGCATTACTGAATGCTAATTGCGTAGGATAGATATTTTGGGAACTACAGAGTAGCAAAAAGGGTGGCTGGTTCTTTGCCCTCAAGGAGCTCAGGATCTTGGAAAACAAGACTCACTCATGGACTTCCTTGTTCAGTTCCTGAACCCCTACATTGTGCCAGGCCCTGGGCATTCAGAGAAAGCAAGATCATTTCTGTCCCCAAGGAGCCCAGAGACTGACTGTGGAAGACAAACTAGTAAAACATTAAAACACAAGATAGTAAGGTCTTCCCTGACTGCTCTATAAAACAACATGTGCACACAACTACACACACATATACTCCCATTCCCATATCCCGCTTTGTTTTTCTTTATAATGTTTACCTCTATCTGACATGTTATATATTTACTTGCTATATTAGTTTTCTATTGCTGCATAACAAATTATGACAAATTGAGCCACTTAAAACAATATGCATTTGTTATCCTAGTTTCCTGTGGGTCAGGAGTCTGGGTGTGCCTTTGCTGCTCCTCTGCTCAAGGGCTCCTAGACTGCAGCGAGGGTCTTGGCTGAGGCGGCAGTCTAATCTGAAACTCCAGGCTCTCTTTCAAGCTCGTGTGATGGTGGGCAGACATAGTTCCTTGCTGTTGTGGGACTGAAGCATTCCTCTTCTAGAGGCCGCCCACAGGTCCCTGCCATGTGGCCCTCTCCATAGGCACTTTACATTATAACAGCTGCTAATGCTTCTTCCTGCCACCTTCCTCAGGGCCAACAGGAAAGTGTCTCTTGTGTGTGCTAGCAAAAATATGGTTATGTAATCACAGGAGCAACATCCATCACCTCTGTCACATGGTGTAACCTAATCATGGGGGTGACATCCCATTGCTTTTGTCCTATTCTGTTGGATAGAAGAAAGTCACAGGTCTTGCTCATACTCAAGGGGTAGGAATTATGTAAGGATGTATATAATTGAGGGTCACCTTAGTATGTGTCTGTCACACTTGCCTGTTTGTTTCATGTCTATTTTTCCCCACTAGAATGTAGGTGGCATGAGGGACTCTTTTCTTTTTTTTTGAGACAGGGTCTTACTCTGTTGCCCAGGCTAGAGTGCCGTGGCATCAGCCAAGCTCACAGCAACCTCAAACTCCTGGGCTCAAGCAATCCTCCTGCCTCAGCCTCCCAAGTAGCTGGGACTACAGGCAAGTGCCACCACACCCGGCTAATTTTTCTATTTTTAGTAGAGGCGGGGTCTCACTCTTGCTCAGGCTGGTCTCGAACTCCTGACCTCAAGTGATCCTCCCACCTTGGCCTCCCAGAGTGCTGTAATACAGGCATGAGCCACTGTGCCAGCCCAGGAACTTAATATTATCACAACACAATTAACAACAAAGTCTACAGACACTACTCTGATTTCACATTTTACATATACTCTTTTTGTTTGTTTTTGGTATGTCTTTGTATATAATTCTGTGGCACTTTATCATATGTACAGATTCATATAACCATCACCAAATTTAAGACATAAAATTTCTATTACCACGAAGGAACTCCTATATGCTGTGCCTTTATAGTGATATCCTCCCCACCCCCTTCTCTGGTCCATGGCAACCACTGATTTGTTTTCCACGCCTATATTTCATCATTTCTAGAATGTTATACAAATGAAATCATGTAGTATGTGACCTTTCCAGATTAGCTTTTTTTGCCACTCAGAATAACACCTTTGGCGTTTATCCAAGTTATCATACATATCAATAGTTCATTCCTTTTTGTTGCTGAGTACTAGTCTGTTGTACAGATGTACCAGTTTTTCACTAGTTCGGTCTTATCAAAATTCCTTACTCACATAAGGGGGAGGGTCTGGGGTGGGTAAGGAAAATGCTAGACACTCAGTCTCCTAGATCCACACAGTAAGTTGTGCGCATCCTTGTCCCATGTCCCAGACACCCGGTGGTGATGTCTGCTAAGATTTGATCATGGCCAGGCACGGTGGCTCACACCTGTAATCCTCGGGAGGCCAAGGAGGGAGGATCACTTAAGGTCAGAAGTTCACGACTAACCTGAGCAAGAGTGAGTCTCTAGGCCGGGCGCGGTGGCTCACGCCTGTAATCCTAGCACTATGGGAGGCCGAGGCGGGCGGATTGTTTGAGCTCAGGAGTTCGAAACCAGCCTGAGCAAGAGTGAGACGCCGTCTCTACTAAAAATGGAAAGAAATGAATCGGACAACTAAAAATACATAGAAAAAATTAGCCGGGCATTGTGGCGCGTGCCTGTAGTCCCAGCTACTCAGGAGACTGAGGCAGGAGGATCGCTTGAGCCCAGGAGTTTGAGGTTGCAATGAGCTAAGATGATGCCACTGCACTGTAGCAGGGGCAACAAAGCAAGACCCTGTCTCAAAGACAAAACGAAACAAAAAATATTTGATTTTGGTCAGTTTCCTAACCATTACAGCTCCTGCCAGACACCTTCAAGTCAAGCTGTATTTCACTGAAGCCTCCAAAAGCCCCAGAAAATGTTTTTCAGTTCAACAAACATGCACTGACCACATACATAGCCCAAGCTTTCTGAGCTCCTGCTGCCCTAGATTTCCTCACAGACGGTGGTCTCCTGCGCCCCCCACCCCACCGAGCTGAAGGGCTCCATAGACACTTGCTCCATCCCAGATACGGTGACTCAGGCCAGAGCCAAGTGCCTACCTCAGAGGCAATGTAGTCGTAGTCCTGCAGGAGACAAGTGCAGGGGTCAGGAGATTGACTTGGGGTTCTGGTCACCCAGAGAGACCCTTCTCAGGCCAGCCACTCCCACCTGGTTTATAAAGTCTCCCTGTTTGTGAGTGGAGGGGGCCAGATAGGATGGGCCCCAGGAGCACCGTAGCATCCCATCTTGGCCCTGACCCTGTGGCCTGGATGACCAATTAATATTTACGAGAGAATGATCAGTGAGCACAGAATGGGACCAGTCCAGACAGTAAATACTATAGAATTTTATGCCAGCTATGTAGACAATTCATCCTGTGAACGAGGCGATGCAGGAGGATGGAGTTTTCCGGGAACACTGGATCCATGCAGGTAGGCAGGGCAGGGAGAGACAGGTGGGAGTGGACAAGGAAAGATGTTTTGGAGGTAAAACTGACAGTGGCATTGGCCATGGGCTGGGGGAATCGGCAGGAATTTTGTTGCAGGCACAGGGCAGTGGGAGCAGAGAAGTGGAGATGAGACTGCACCAGGTGTGTTAGAATGGTGGGTATGGGGGACAGCTAGAGTAGGCTGGAGGGAAGGGTAGGTGAGGTGGGAGAGGAAGCGGCGCAGGGGCAAGGGCATCACCTGGTGTGGTGGCCAGCAGCTCAGCTCACTGTCAACCTCCCTTCCTAGCTCCTCAAGCTGGGCACCGGCCTCTTGGAAAGTGGGCGCCATTACCTTGCTGCCAGCCGCGCCTTCATTGGTGGCATTTGTGACCTGGCCCGCCTGGGTCCTCCAGAGCCCATGATGGCGGTATGCGGAGGGTCTGAGCCAGGGGGAATGGGGTGTGGGATGAAGAGATGCTGTGGAAGAAGAGGGCTGGCCTGGGGTCTGCAGGTCCCAGGTCAGAGCAGGGCTGGGCTGCCATCCGAGACAGCCAGAGCAAGCTGGATCGAGAGCTGGGCGGGCCCTGCCACCCCACGCATGGTGCTCTCTCTGTCCTGCTTCTTGCTTAGGAGTGTCTGGACAAATTCACCGTGAGCCTCAGCCACAAGCTGGACAGCCACGCAGTGAGTTGGGGAGGGGAGAGGGAGGGCGGGGCACGAGGTCATCTGTGGTCCTGACCCTCTCCTGCCAACTTCTTCTTCCCTCAGGAGCTTCTAGACGCCATCCAACACACTCTGCAGCAGCAAATCCAGACCCTGGTCAAGGAGTGAGAAGGGAGGGAAGGGGACCTTATTTCCCAGAAACCTGCCCTCCAGCCCTCTTCCCAGTACCACGGGGCCTTCTCGAGTGAAGGAGTTGTGAGATTGGGGTTTCTGGTGGCCCAACTTCTATCCTGCTGTCCCAGGGATCCCTTTGGATTTCTGACTGCACAGGCTAACTGAAAGGATACAGGTGGGCCATTTCCTGGGAAGTCTCTGCCGGGGGCCGGAGGGTGTCATCTGTGATTCTGTGTTATCTCCCCATCCCCAGAGGTCTCCGAGGTTTCCGAGAGGCTCGCCGGGATTTCTGGCGGGGGGCTGAGAGCCTGGAGGCTGCTCTTACCCACAACGCAGAGGTCCCCAGGCGCCGAGCCCAGGAGGCAGAAGAGGCAGGAGCTGCTTTGAGGACTGCTCGAGCTGCGTACCGGGGACGGGCACTGGATTATGCCCTGCAGGTGCCTGCCTCAACCTGTCCTCCTGGGGTACCAGGGCCTCAGGTGCCACCTTGAGGCTGGGGAGCCCCCATTATGCAGTGGGAGGGGGCGCTATGTTTTCAAGACTAACCTGAGGTCTTTTCTGGTCCTCAGATCAATGTGATTGAGGACAAGAGGAAGTTTGACATCATGGAGTTTGTGAGTTGTGGTGGGGGGAGGTTAAGGTGAGAGGAGCCTGCTGACAGAGAGCATGACGGGAGAGGAGAGAGGGAGAGAGATTACCACCTTGTCACCCAGGTGCTGCGTTTGGTGGAAGCCCAGGCTACCCATTTCCAGCAGGGCCATGAGGAGCTGAGCCGGCTGGCCCGGTATCGCAAGGAGCTGGGTGCCCAGGTGGGGCCCCAGGGAGCAGACAGGTGGTGGAGGGAGGTTAGGGGGCTCTGAGATGACTGCCCTGGCCTAGTCGGTGGGGGGAGGGGCTTGGACATCTGAGATGCCCTTCCTATGCCCAGTTGCACCAGCTGGTCTTGAATTCAGCACGAGAGAAGAGGGACATGGAGCAGAGACATGTGCTGCTGAAACAGAAGGTGAGGACTGGGACTGTGGGCAGGAGGTAGACAAGGCTGTGGCCTTGGTCTCTGCCTGCTTCAGTTGCCCTTTGACCCTCTGTGCCTCCAGGAGCTGGGTGGGGAGGAGCCAGAGCCAAGCCTAAGGGAGGGGCCTGGTGGCCTGGTCATGGAAGGACATCTCTTCAAACGAGCCAGCAACGCATTTAAGACCTGGAGCAGGTGAGGAGAGGATGCCCCAGTCAGCCAAACTCACCCAATTAAAAATTTTTGAGTGGTTTTAGTGTGCCAAGCACAGTAAGGAAAACAGACAAAACCCCTGCCTCAGTGGAGTTCACATTCTATCAGCAAAGAAAGATGATAAATATAATAAATAAGTAAATTATGTGTTATGTTAGAAGGTAATAGTGCCCTAGATGAAAAATAATAAAGGGACATGGACAGCTGGGCAGGGTTTTCAGCTTTAAATAGTGGGCCAGGGTAGGCTTCACGAGAAGGTGACTTTTGAGCAAAGACTTGGAAGAGGGAGGCCGAGGCAGGAGGATCACTTGAGCCCAGGAGTTTGAGGTTGCTGTGAGCTAGGCTGACGCCACAGCACTCTGGCCCAGGCAACAGAGTGAGACTCTGTCTCAAAAAAAGAGATTAAAAAAAAAGAGAAGAAGACTTGAAGGCTATCTGGGAGACGAATGTTCTAGGCATAAGGAAGAGCCAGTGCCAAGGCCCTGAGATAGCTGAGGTATTGGGAGAGCGCAGAGGAGGCCATGGGTCTGTATAGAGTAAGAGAGGAGGAGGAGGTGGTAGGAGATGAAATTGGAGCTGGTAGCTAGTAGGGGTGTGAATTGTTAAAGGGCCCTGTAGACTTTTGTAAGGTCTTGGGATCTACTCTGAGGGCAATGAGGAGCCACTACAGGGTCTGGAGCAGGATGGTGACATGCCCTCACTTGACTCCTTCTCCTTCCAGGGCCACTGCCAGTCCAAATGAGATCTTTGTGCAAATTAGAAAATGGAGCCCCTTCCCCAAGATACTTCCATTTGTTAAAAATTGTAGCAATTGAAAAAGAATTTTACTGCCATCTGCTGGAAAGTTGTCTTCATAAATATTAACTATATCAAATCTGGGTCGTCTAAGATGTGAATAGCTCTCCTTAGATATCCCAATCTGCACAACTGTCCACTCTTCTCTGAATGTCTCATGGGACAGCCCAGGTCTCTTTCCTCTTGGCAAGATCCTTATGGGGCAAAGGGCACAGCCTCTCTTCTGTCCATGTTCTGAGCCTCATCCCAAAGCTGCCTGTGTCCCTAACTATTTCCACCTCCTACAGACGCTGGTTCACCATTCAGAGTAACCAAATGGTTTATCAGAAGAGGTACAAGGTGAGTAGGCCTGGGTCCTGGATGCCCGGGCCACAGGGACACTCAGCCCTTGCCTGCGGCTAGAGGTCTGCCTCTTATCACCTTCTCCTGCCAGGACCCCGTGACTGTGGTGGTGGACGACCTTCGCCTCTGCACAGTGAAGCTCTGCCCTGACTCAGAAAGGCGGTTCTGCTTTGAGGTGGTATCCACGAGCAAGTGAGTGCAATCTTCAGGGGTGACATTCTAATGTATCTAAACATTTATTAACCTGACAGCCAGGGCCAACCACAGTGGAGGACCCCCATGCAACTCCAGGCTCTAACCCTTTGGTGGCTGGATTGGGGGGCCACCTGGGGAGAGGGTACAAGGTGGTGGGGGATATTTGGAGGGTATTACCAGTTGGTACAGAGTATGTCAGTGCAGCTGGAACTGGTTGCATACTGGCTGAATGTCAGCCTGCCCATCCTGCTACCTTGCTCCCCAGGCCTCAGACCCCTCTGCCATCTCCCTCACTCCCCTCCCCAGGTCCTGCCTCCTCCAGGCTGACTCTGAGCGCCTCCTGCAGCTGTGGGTCAGTGCTGTGCAGAGCAGCATCGCCTCTGCCTTCAGCCAGGCTCGCCTTGACGACAGCCCCCGGGGTCCAGGCCAGGTACCTTAACGTGGGGGTGCAGGGCCAGGTTGCCCTGGGAGATGGGGCACCCCTTACCCTAGGCCACCCTTTCTTCCCTTGTCTCTTCCAGGGCTCAGGACACCTGGCCGTGGGCTCTGCTGCCACACTGGGCAGTGGCGGGATGGCCAGGGGAAGGGAGCCTGGGGGAGTCGGGCACGTGGCAGCCCAGGTACAGAGTGTGGATGGCAATGCCCAGTGCTGCGACTGCCGGGAGCCAGCTCCAGAGTGGGCCAGCATCAACCTTGGTGTGACCCTCTGCATTCAGTGCTCCGGCATCCACAGGTCACTCCCCAAGGCTCCAAGCATGATCCTTGCTCCTTCCAGATGTGGTCCAGCCCCCAAGATAGAGCCTATCACACAGGCCTCTCTTTTTCCACCTTACCCTGGCTTTCCCTCTTAGATTCTGGCTGTCACTGGGCACCAGGCCTGGGCCTGAGCCTGTAGAGTGCCAGACAGACCTAGATGGGCCCAGACTTCAGTGTCCTAGTCTGGTTAGAATTGGGGAAGACCCAGAGGAGCTTATTGGCTTGGTTGGAGGAAGTGTAGGGTCAGGGCTGCTGAGGGTAGGGGAGCCAACAAACAGCAGACAGAGGCTGGGTGTAGTGGCTCACATCCATAATCCCAGCACTTTGGGAGGCTGAGGCAGGAGGATTGCTTGAGCCCAGGAGTTCAAGACCAGCCTGGGCAACATAGCCAGATGACGTCTCTATAAAAAATTTTAAAAATTAGCTGGGGCCGGGCGTGGTGGCTCACGCCTGTAATCCTAGCTCTCTGGGAGGCCGAGGCGGTTAGATCCTTTGAGCTCAGGAGTTCAAGGCCAGCCTGAGCAAGAGCAAGACCCGGTCTCTACTAAAAAAAATACAAAGAAATTAGCTGGACAAGTAAAAATATATAGAAAAAATTAGCCAGGCATGGTGGCACATACCTGTAGTCCCAGCTACTCGGGAGGCTGAGGCAGGAGGATCACTTGAGCCCAGGAGTTTGAGGTTGCTGTGAGCTATGATGGCGCCACCACACTCAAGCCTGGGTGACAGAGTGAGACTCTTGTCTCAAAAAAAAAAAAAAAAAGAAAGAAAGAAAGAAAAAAGAAGACCAAAGAGAGAAGAGAAGAGGTCATGAGGCCTTAGCAAGTCTGTCTACAAGGTCCTCAACCCTAGGCAGTGTGGTGGAAGGAGGGAAGGGTGATAGCACGGGAAGAGTTGTCCTGGCCAAAGTGGCCTAAGAGGAGGGAGTGGCTGGAGAGGATGAGGTCCTTAAAATGAAACATAGGGAAGAAGGAAGAAGGAATGGGAAACAGGCAGGATCCTCCAGAGCCAGGTCGAGGTGACACGGCCCCGCCTGCCCTGCCTCCTGGCCCAGCTCCTCTGCACAGCCCCGGTGCAGACCTTGCCTCCCAGTCTGTCCAGAAGCAGCAGCAGCCTCCCCAGGCCACTGCCCCACAGAGGGCCTGACTTCCCCCTCTGGTTCCCCAGGAGCCTCGGTGTTCACTTCTCCAAAGTCCGGTCTCTGACCCTCGACTCGTGGGAGCCGGAACTAGTGAAGGTAACTTGGGATATTGTAAAGATTGGGGGATCGAGGACAATGGACAGAAGAGCCCTGAGAACTCAGACACTCACCCCCTACCCTCCCTGTCTGTCTCTACCTCCGCCTGGGCCACCCGAAGCTTATGTGCGAGCTGGGAAATGTTGTCGTCAACCAGATCTATGAGGCCCGTGTAGAGGCGTTGGCTGTGAAGAAGCCTGGGCCCAGCTGCTCCCGGTGAGGTTGGGGTGGAGCTGCCTGGGGCTCTCCTCCAAGGTGGAAGAGGGAGGGGGACCTGGAATGGGAAGAGGGAAGACTGTCTCCATCTCCCCCTCCCCCAGACAGGAGAAGGAAGCCTGGATTCATGCTAAATACGTGGAGAAGAAGTTCCTGACCAAGCTTCCTGAGGTTCGGGGGCGAAGAGGTGGCCGGGGGCCCCCAAGGGGGCAGCCTCCTGTGCCCCCAAAGCCTTCCCTTAGGCCCCGGCCAGGGAGCTTCAGATCCAAACCAGGTATAGAATTGGTTGGGCATTCATTGAGCACCTGCTGTGTGCTCAGCACCGTGCCCTATAGGGAGGTGCAGGCTGTGAGGCCAGGGCCTTCCCCTTGAGAATGTTGGGGAGACAATCTGCCGTTTCAGGGATTACAGTGGAGTGTGACACTAAGACTGGGAAGAGCATGGGGCTTGGAGTAGGCAGGGAGGGCTAAGGGGTGTCAACAGCATGAGGAAAGCAGGAGTGGGAATGGGTTTGGGCTCTCCAAAGACCTGAGAAGGAGGGTGTGGGTTTGGCTAGGGCAGCGGGAGCCAAGAGCTGAGACCGAGTGTCAGGGAGAGTCAGTCACCTGTGACGTCCCAGCCAGGGTGGTTGGACAGGATGAGGTGAATGACGCTGTCTCTCCCCAACATCCCAGGGCCCCGTACACATATATACACTTAACAATACCCACACCCATTTCCCTCTATTTCCTACCACAGTCTGGGGTCAGGAAGGCCTCCTCACAATTTAGAAGTGACCTGTCCCATACAGCATCAGGGGACTGTGCTGAGGGTTTTCTTCCCAGACTCAGAGCTGATTCCCTCTAACAGAGCCCCCGTCTGATGACCTGGGAAGCCTGCACCCTGGGGCCCTGCTGTTTCGAGCTGCTGGGCATCCTCCATCCCTTCCCACGATGGCTGATGCCCTTGCTCATGGTGCTGATGTCAACTGGGTCAATGGGAGTCAGGAGAATGCCACGCCGCTGATCCAGGCCACAGCTGCTGTGAGAGCCTCAACGACCTCCCCACCCCAGCCACCCTACCCTAAGGCTTCTCTCTGACTCTGGGCCCAGCCCTTACTTCATTGCCCTCCCACCAGCTCTCTGGGCCCCCCACCCCATAGGGAGAGGATAAGCACTATAGACTGGTTGCTAAGATTGTGTGATCTGGAAGCAGAGAACTGAGTTTGAATCCAGGCTTTCACCACTAACAGGAGACTTCAAACAAGTTATTAACCTCTCTGTGCCTCAGTCTCCTCATCTGTAAAACAGGGATAACATACCTCATAAACTTGTACTACGGGCTGGTGTGGTCACTCACACCTGTAATCCCAATACTTTAGGAGGCTGAAGCAGGATTGCTTGAGTCTAGGAGTTTGAGACCAGCCTGAGCAACATAGCCAGACCCTGTCTCTATAAAAAATAGAAAAATTAGCTGGGTGTAGTGGCACAAGCCTGTAGTCCTAACTACTGGGGAGTTGAGACAGGAGGATCCCTTGAGCCCAGGAGTTAGAGGTTGCAGTGAGCTATGATATGATGGTGCCACTGCACTAGCCTGGGCAACAGAGCAAGATCCTGTGTCAAAAAAATAAAACAAAAAATCCCCCAACTTGTACTATAGATTTAATATATGAATATATGTGAAGAGTTAGAGCCAAGCCTGACAGCTGCATGCCCACACACACTCTTGATTACCATACCCTGCCTCCCACCCTCACTCACCCCACCCTAAAACATCTTGAAATCCACCTCTAAAGATGCCACCCTCAATCCTCCTTCTCGACTTCTCCATGCAGAATTCTCTTCTGGCCTGCGAGTTTCTGCTCCAGAACGGGGCGAACGTGAACCAAGCGGACAGTGCAGGCCGGGGCCCGCTACACCACGCAACCATTCTTGGCCACACGGGGTAGGGGTGGCAGGAGTAATGGCCGTGGGGAGGAAGGCTCCGGAGCAGGTGAGCGGCGGCTGAACCTGGCTATCCTCTCCAGGCTCGCCTGCCTGTTCCTGAAACGGGGGGCAGATCTGGAGGCTCGCGATGCTGAAGGCAGGGACCCTCTGACCATCGCTGTGGAAACAGCCAACGCTGACATCGTCACCCTGTGAGAATGCCTGAAGGGGCGGGGCTAGCGCTTGGGCTATCCATTCTGGAGGGGCTCACGCCGAAACTGGAGTGTGCCAGGTGGAGCCCGGGGAAGGTGCGGCCAGCGCCTGGCCAGGGAGAGAAAGGGTGCTCCAAGTACGGATCCGGTGTGGAGACGGAAGGCGGGCGGGCACGGTCCCAGGGTGGTGAGTTCATCCTGAGAGGCATCAACAGTCCTGTCAAGCATCTTTTAAGCACTGGACTCCGGGGAGGCAGGTGAATGAAACATAACCCAGCCCAAAAGACGGGAAGTTAGGGGGCAGTGAGGATAATGTCATTCATTTCTTAATTTCCTCCCCTTCAGGCTACGATTGGCAAAGATGAGGGAGGCTGAAGCGGCTCAGGGCCAGGCAGGTAATGTATCCACCCACCCCAGCCCCCAGGCCCAACACTGGTTCAGGCTTCTAGCCCCTGGTGACCTATCCCCTTTGTGCCCAACTGCATTAATTCTATTATTTATTCAACAAATATGTATTGGGCGCATCCGACGTGCCAAGCCTGTGAAGCAAGGAATAGGTGCGGGCGCTGCGCTCACGGCGCACACGTGCACACACGTTCCCCCCCACGCTCGAAGCGCGCACTGTACCCGGTCGGCCTCGGCTGCCGGCTCCGGCTCTTCCGCGCTGGGGCGCAGCCGCCGGCCTCCCCAGCCTTTCCTCCCTGTCCCACAGGGGATGAGACGTATCTTGACATCTTCCGCGACTTCTCTCTCATGGCGTCGGACGACCCGGAGAAGCTGAGACGGCGTAGTCATGATCTCCACACGCTGTGATCCCAGGCCCCGTGCCCCCGGACCCTCCCTGCTCACCTTCCGGCCCTCCGCCATTAAAGCCTCTGTGCTTTGCGCCGCCCTTCCTCGTTCATTTGTTGGGCGCCACCTTTGGGCCCGCAGGGTTTTGGGCCCTGTGGCTCCGGGGGTGCGGGGAGCCGCTGGCAGTTTGCGAGCTCGAGTCAGGCAAGAGGCGACTCCCGGGGGATTGAGGTGGCACCTTCGGCCTCAGCCCTAGCGCTGGGCGACAGTGGGGCGGGGCTCTCGGGCTCAGCTCAGGGGACCTGGCCAGACCCGTCCCTCCGGAGAGAGGCCGCCGGCGTGGGATGGGGACCGGCCTTCCCTTAGGGTGAGCTGGCACCGCGCCGGGATATAGAGAGCTCGCTCGGGCCACCTCGGCCCCGAGGCATTCCCGGAATGCGGCGGCTCAGCACCCGCCCCCTCGGGAATTACCCTCGGGAGCCACTGGGAGGGAACTGGTACCCTGGCCCGGGACGGCCGGGCCTCGGCTTTCTTGGAGTGGTGGGATTAGAGACTCGGGCCCCCGCCGAGTTGCAAACGTGAGGTCTGGCACACCTGAGGAGCGGCGGGGCCGTCGCGGCCACATCCGGGGCGAAGCGACTGAGTCACCCCACCCCCGCTTGCATCCGCCAGTCCAGCCTGTCCGCCCCGTCTCTCCGGTCCGGGACTCGCCTCCCACCGCCACCCGAGCAGCGCGAGCCCCGCGAGGGCGGGGGGCGGGGCGCCAAGGGGCGGGGCTGCCTCTTAAAGGACCCGGGGCCGTTGCCCTTAGGCCACTTCCTGGGGGTGGAGAGGACCTCAGCGGCTGCGGCAACACCCGGGGAAGGCGGTGACGGCTGGGTCTCGAAATTCCTGGCTGCTTCCATCGGAGCCTTCGGACACTCCCAACTCGGACTGAGAGCGCATCCGTCACCCCCGAGCCGATACCCGGAGGCTCCGCCATCCGCTCCCGTCAGCTCCTCCTTCATCCCCTGGGACCCGCGCCGGGAGCCAGGCCAGGCCTCTGACTGGCCCCCGGAACCCTGCGTGGACTCGCCCACTGCGACAGCGATCTGCCAGGGACTCGGAAGCTGGGCCCTTCAGAGTCAGCCCTGTGCTCGCCACCGTCACCTGCTGATTGGATTCCGGAAACCCACTGTCTGAAGACCCCAGAAAAGAGTCGCTGACCATCCAAAATCGGATACGTCTGGACCGAAGCTCCCTTCCCCTTTCTTGCTGCCCTCTGCTGTTTTCATCTCTTCTCTCAACCTTTCAGGGATTTCTGTGCCCTGAAACCAGCCCCCCATCCAACACGAAAGTAACTGGGTGAGCTCCAAACCTTGCTGCCTTGAACTCTAACACAGCAAGTCTGAAAGTTACGACCCAATTCTGCATACTCCTAGGAAGTTCTGCCTTTTCTTCTCTTTTGGGGTCTCTTGTACTTCCCAAAATTTCCCCTCCTCCTGTGCCCTCTTCGCCCCCCTCCTTTGGGGGCCCCGTGACCCTGAATGTGGGGGGCACACTATATTCTACCACTTTGGAGACCCTGACCCGCTTCCCAGACTCCATGCTGGGGGCAATGTTTAGGGCCGGCACCCCCATGCCTCCCAACCTCAATTCCCAAGGAAGCGGCCACTATTTCATCGACCGGGATGGCAAAGCCTTCCGACACATCCTCAATTTCCTGCGGCTGGGCCGTCTAGACTTGCCCCGCGGATACGGAGAGACAGCACTTCTCAGAGCAGAAGCCGACTTCTACCAGATCCGGCCTCTCCTGGATGCCCTGCGGGAACTGGAGGCCTCTCAGGGGACCCCTGCACCCACAGCTGCCTTGCTCCACGCAGATGTAGATGTCAGCCCACGCCAGGTGCATTTCTCTGCTCGCCGGGGCCCACACCACTATGAGCTGAGCTCCGTCCAGGTGGACATCTTCCGGGCAAACCTCTTCTGTACCGACTCCGAATGTCTGGATGCTATGCGGGCCCGATTCGGTGTGGCCAGTGGGGACAGGGCAGAGGGGGGCCCACATTTTCATCTGGAGTGGGCACCCCGCCCTGCAGAACTCCCTGAGGTGGAGTATGGGAGACTGGGGCTGCAGCCCCTGTGGACTGGGGGGCCAGGAGAGCGGCGGGAAGTGGTGGGCACACCGAGCTTCCTGGAAGAGGTGCTGCGTGTGGCTCTGGAGCACGGCTTCCGCCTAGACTCCGTCTTCCCTGATCCTGAAGACCTGCTCAACTCCCGGTCTCTGCGCTTTATCCGCCACTGAGAATGCTGTCCTCAGTTTGATTGTGGGAAGGAAAGGGAATGGGGTAGCTAACAGGGAAAAGGTTCCCCTAAAGCCTCTTTCTAGCTCTGCCTCAGGAGCTATGAGAGTCAGGGGTCCCACTGCACCTGACTGGAGCCCAGATGTGGGCAGGAATTCCCAAACCTGAGCCCACCGAGGGCTCACAAATGGTCCAAAGGGTCTGGACTGGTGCTGACCGTGGGATGGGCATGGAAGGTTCTCTTGACTGTTCTTACCTAAGGCTAGAGACTGCCGGTCTCTCCTTGGAGCTCAGTATTTGGGGGTCTAGAAAAATGGGGACCACCTCTTTGTCCAGGCTAGACCTGGCAGAACACTGGAGGGACTTGAGGTCTGGGGCAAAGGGGGAACTTTTCAGTGCCCCAATATGGCCTCCTGGACCGTGGCTTCTCCTGCTGAAGCTGAGTGGCCTGGCTGGCCAATGAGAGTCCAGAGCACTCTGGAACATGGGAAGGGGGTTCTTTGCAGTGTCCCAAGCCACCTACTGAAGGAGACAGAAAGGCCACACCCCATCCTAGATTGGCATAAGGGAGCTAGGAGAGTCCCCATTCACAATGGGGCTGGAGCACCTCTCTGGAATTCCAAGTGTTTTGAAGGATCCCATATGGAGGGTGGAGCTGGCCATGGGGAGGAGGGGGTATCTTTTTGGTTCTGGCCTTATTCCTTCATGTGTGTGTGTGTGTGTGTGTGTGTGTGTGTGTGTGTGTGTGTATGTGTGTCAGCCAGTTTGTCTACCTGATGTGCGGGTCCCTGACATTCTTGTCCCCATCTGTGTTGCTGGCCACAGTGTCTATGTGCTGGTCCTTCTGTGGTCTCTGCATGTCCAGGCCTGTTTGGGGTTGCCCCACAACTATTCTGGCACAGGGTGTGTCTGTGGTATATGTGTGAGTAGACTGAGAATTAGTAGTTTAATTACAGGGTGTGTATATGCATGTGTGTTTATGTGCACGCATGTACACACATCACCATGTAGGCAGGAGGGGCCTGTTGGGGTTTAAGTCACTGGGATCTTCCTGGTGAGAGGTAAGAGGAGTCGCTGGGCCTAGCTAGGCCTTTGAGGCCTGTATGAACTCTTGGTTGCTGAGGCAACCATAGGCCTCTTGCTAGGAGACAGCTGGGGGAGGCCCAACGCTGCCCAGTGCAGGGAGGAGATGAAGAGTTTGGGAGAGTGGGGACGACGTGGGAAGGGATGGGATACTCATGCACAGCTTCTTCACTGGGACATCACTCATTGTTTATCACTGGTCATGATTTACAAGAAGAAAAATAAAATTGCTTTTGGAACCACAAACTTGTAAAGGCTGCTGAGGGCCAGGTTGGGGATACTGTCCCCCGTGCAACGGAAGCCCCACTTTCTCTGCCCATCTCTTACTAGAGATGATTTCATCTGGCTGCCGGGTCCATGGCTTCTCCTGAAGCTGGGTGGCCTGGCCTGGCCTGGCCAATGAGAGTCCAGAACACTCTGGAACATGGGAAGGGGGGTTCTTTATAGTGTCCCAAGCCACCTACTGAAGAAGACAGAAAGGCCACACCCCATCCTAGGTTAGCATAAGGGAGCTGGGTGAGTCCCCATTAGCAATGGGGCTGGAGCTGGAGTTCCTTGGGCCCCAGCTTTACTTCAGCCAAGGATGGAGCAGTAGCATTATTCTGGAACACTCTAGAACCTCCAGGCAAAGGGCTGGAGCCAGGGTCGCAGAGCATTCTGAGGCCTTCCCAGCCCAGGTGGAGCCAGCTCCCACCCCATCCCCTAAAGGTCCTCATGTGGTTGCTGGCACTATGTGGGGTTTTCCTGGCAGCTGCCGAGGCCTGTGTTTTCTGCCGCCTCCCAGCCCACGACTTGTCAGCCCGCCTGGCTCGGTTCTGTGGCCAGACGAAGGCTCAGTGGAAGGCATGTGAAGTCTCCCCAGACTTCTTGGCCTTTGCCTTAGGTAAGACCAGACATCCAAGGACAGACCCAGCAACAGTCAGCCCTGTACCCCAAGGGGGGCAGCATGTGACTTCCTAGCTGTGCCCTCAAGTGTTCACAGCCCTTTCTGGGCACAAGGGCCTCTCCCTCTAGGACAGCTCTAGAACCCAAAAAGGTCAGGAGAGATCCCAAAACCTCCTCCTGGGCTGGGGAGGGAATCAATGGTCCTCGCCCATCTCCACAGATGAGGTGTCCCTGAACAAAGTCACAGAGAAGACTCACAGAGTCCTGAGGGTCATGGGTGAGGCCAAGGGGAAGGTGTGACCTGGGGGCTTGGGAAGACACCAAGGAGGGCTGGGAGGCAGGAGCCGGGGCAGCAGGAGGGCTGATGGGGAGGGGCAAGTACAGGCGTGGGTGAACTGGCACTGTGAGGCCCAGGGCAGTGTAGCTACTCTCTGCTTCTCCAGAGATCAAAGAGGCTTTCTCCTCACTCCCCGCGTATTGGCAATGGCTTCAAAAGACCAAGCTCCCCGAGTACACCAGGGAAGGTACTGACACAGGACACAGGGAGGGCGTCCAGGGGTGCCTGGGATCTTAGGCAAAGGGGCCAGTGGCTCACCCTGTCCCACCCCTTCCTTGTCTTTCATTCCAGCTCTCTGTGCTCCCGCTTGCCGTGAGTAGAAAAGGAAATGGGTAGCCAGGCCCTGGGTCTCCAGGGTGTCTGAGGAGAGCCTGGCAGCGTGGGGAGGAAGCTAGGTGCCCTGGAAGGGTGGAGGCCTGGGCCTCCCTCTCCCCTGCCGTCTCCTACAGGGGGCAGCACCATCCTGTACAACTGCTCTACCTGCGCGGCCACTGAGGCGTCCTGCTGGCCGCGAAAGCGCTGCTTCCCAGGTCCTTAGTCCCCACCCCGGCCCCACCCCCACCCCGCCCCATCCCTGAGCCCTTAGGCTCCCCCAGTGCCAGTGGGTGTGATCTCCAGGATTATTCACTGTCTCCCGGGGTCCCTGCAGGAAGTCAGAATCTTTGGGAAGCCAAGATTCTGCTCCTCTCTATCTTCGGAGCTGTCCTGCTTCTGGGTGTTCTCAGCCTGCTGGTGGAGTGAGTTGTGGGATGAGGGCGAGAAACAGCCTTCCAATCACTGGCCTCCCTCCATCCCTCCTCTTAGGCCTCCTGTCTTCTGTCTTCCCTCAGGTCCCGCCACCTCCAAGCAAAAAGTGACTTGTAAAGATGCTGACAACCTCTCAGTCTCCAGCTCTAAGGGGTGTGTACCCACAACTTCTAACCAGCCAGCCCCTTAATCCCAGCCCCAAAGTCTCAGTCTTCCAGACCCTAAAACCCAGACATCCCCACCAGGATCCCAGCATCAGATGGCTGCCAGGAACCCAGGCACCCACAGCTGGAAAGTTCCTCCCCTCCAGCTCTCAACCAATCAGACTAGGCCATCAACAATGCCAGGAAAATAGCTACAGAAGGAAAGAATCCCCTACAGCACCACTCCCATACCCCCTCTGCCTGTTCCCAGAAAGCGGGGGCTGTCTGCCGCAGAAGCTACTCTAGGCCCTCCTGCGACTGGTTAGGAATCCGGGAATGCCTATTCTGGAAAACTCCAAGTGAGACCACATCAGTCAGTCCGCTGGCATGCTCTCCCTCCATTGTGCTAACATCTTGAAGCCCTGACCCCCTTTGGAGGCCTCTTTCCTTCTGGGCCCAATTAAAACTGCTATCTCTGGCCTCCAGCCCTGCCTGGCTTCTGTCTATAACTGGGGAGGGCAGAGGGAGGACGGGAGACTCTCAGTGTGGCACAGTGATTCTCAGGTGGGGTGATTTTGCACCCCAGGAGACATTTAGCAACATCTGGAGATGTTTTTGATTGTTTTGTCTGGGTGGGGGGAATGTGCTACTGGCATCTACTAGGTAGAGATCAGAGATTCTGCTCAACATCCTACAATGCACAGGAAAGTCCCCAACAACAAAGAAGTAACCTGTCCAAAATACTAATGCATGGTTAAGAAATCCTGGTTTGAGAAACCAAATGGTCCCCCACCTATCAGAGTTTAGGGTTCAGGAATGGGAGGTGGGGCATAGGACAAAAAGAGAGGCCTGGCCGGGGTGTGGTGGCTCACGCCTGTAATCCTAGCACTCTGGGAGGCCGAGGCGGGCGGATTGTTTGAGCTCAGGAGTTCGAAACCAGCCTGAGCAAGAGCAAGACCCCGTCTCTACCAAAAATAGAAAGAAATTAATTGGACAACTAAAAATATATAGAAAATATTAGCTGGGCATGGTGGCGCATGCCTGTAGTCCCAGCTACTCGGGAGGCTGAGGCAGAAGGATTGCTTGAGTCCAGGAGTTTGAGGTTGCTGTGAGCTAGGATGACGCCATGGCACTCTAGCCCGGGCAACACAGTGAGACTCTGCCTTAAAAAAAAAAAAAAAGAGAGGCCTGTTACCAACCACAAGTCCAAGTCCAAGCACCTAGGCCTGGAAGGGATCCCAGCTCTCATCTAGCCCAGTGGTTTTCAACCGGGTACCTGGAGGCTCCAGGACAAGTGTTCACAATCAGCTGCACATGAGAGTCCCCTGGGCAGCTTTAAAAGTACCCATGCTTGGGCCCCACCTGCAGAGATTCTGAATTAAGTGGTCTCATATGGGGCGTTTGGCTAGTGAAACCCACAGCCTGGCTTCGAACCACTGTTCCAAGGGTGCCCACAGGGGCCCTGGGGATGGGGAGAGGAACTGCTACCCCTACCATGAGAGCATCTCATATCTTTTTCTTCTATATATTCTAGTCCTATCCTTTTTTTCTTTTTTGTTTTTTGAGACAGGGTCTTGCTCTGTCACCCAGGCTAGAGTGCAGTGGCGTCATCATAGTTCACTGCAACTTCAAACTCTTGGGCTCAAGGGATCCTCCTGCCTCAGCCTCCCGAGTAGCTGGGACTACAGGCATGCGCCACTATGCCCGGCTAATTTTTCTATTTTTGCAGAGATGGGGTCTCACTCTTGCTCAGGCTAGTCTCAAACTCCTGAGATTAAGACATCCTCCTGCCTTGGCCTCCCAAAGTGCTAGGATTACAGGTGTGAGCCACCGAGCCCAGCCCCATCCCTTCATTTTACATGTGAAGAAAATGAGACCCAGAGACCACATAACTGTCTGAGATTACACAAGAACTCATTCATTTGGTCATTCAACAAAGACTTAGTGAGCGCCCAGCAGGTGCCAGGCAGCCTCACTGCCCAAGATGGGGTAAGAAGCCACACCTCCTGACTGCCCGGTCACCACAGCTCTCCTCTGGGCTGCGGTAGCTGCCTCGTACCCTCCCGTGCTGTGCCGTCTTTCCAGGCTGAATGTTTTGGAGTCCTGCTTGTTTCACAACCAAAATTCAGTCAGTCCTGTCCATTCTTGAAGGACCTATCCTGTCTGTCCCCTTCTCCTGCCCATGGCCCCCCACCCATCTACCCCAGAAGCCTCTCACAGGGGGCCCCAGCCTCCCAGGAGCACCATGTGACTCTGCCTGCTCTCCTTGTACCCATTTCTCCCCCAGTGGCCACACTGGTCTTCCTAAAACTCCACACTGCTCACAGCCTCCTGTCCAGTAACAAGTGATGACTAAGAACTGCGGCTTTGGAGTTGGGCTGCCTGATTTCAAATCTGGCTTTGTCTCTCACTGGACTATGGGCAAGTTATTTAACCTCTCCTGTGTCTCTTTCTTCATGTTTTAAATGTGAATAATGAATTTTACTGGCTCTGTGGCCTTTTTTTCTTTTTACATTTTAACATCTCTGAAGTCAGAATGCATCTTAAATTGAAGGCATGCCATGGCTTAATTAATGGTATTTTTTTCTTAGCAGTACACAATAGTATAGATTACAATTGATGATATCTTAAATTCAATGGAATACAGTAGTACTTACCTTACAGGATTATTGTGAAGGCCAAATATGTTTATATAAAATGCTTGGGGCCGGGCGCGGTGGCTGTCGCCTGTAATCCTAGTACTCTGGGAGGCCAAGGCGGGTGGATCATTTAAGCTCAGGAGTTCGAGACCAGCCTGAGCAAGAGCAAGACCCCATCTCTACTAAAAATAGAAAGAAATTGGCCAAACAACTAAAAATAGAAAAAATTAGACAGGCATGGTGGCACATCCATGTAGTCCCAGCTACCTGGGAGGCTGAGGCAGGAGGATCGCTTGAGTCCAGCAGTTTGAGGTTGCCGTGAGCTAGGATGATGCCACGGCACTCTAGCCCAGGCAACACAGTGAGACTCTGTTTAAAAAAAAAAAAAAAAAATGCTTGGGACTGTGCTCTATGGGTATTCACTATTAGCCATTATAACCTCTTGCTTAAAGACCGTCTCTAGCTCCTCTGTGCCTGCAGAATATAGATCTGGCCTCTATTTACCCTGACATTCAAGGCTCTCCATCAGCAGCTGCCACCTGTCTTATCTGCTTCTCAGATCAGAGCTGTCCAAACAAGATGTAACTGGCATGTCCACTTGGATGCCCTACAGGCATCTCCGACTCTGCACGTCCAAACTTGCCTTCCTCCCCGACTCCACCCCACTCTTGTGACCTCTCCTAGGCTTAATGGCAGCACCAACTGTGTCCCGGACATCCTCTTCCTTCCTCTCTTCCTCTAATGCCCACATGTCCACTTCTCATCAGTAACCAAGTGATCTGCCTTTGTAACACTTCTTGGAATCCGGCCCCCTATGTGTCCCTGAAACTTTATCGCTTCAACACTGCCAACCCCAACACAACCTCCACAGCCAATTTGTAGTTGCCCAAACATTTCCTGTCTTCTTATGTCTCCGTGCCTTTGTCCAGGCTTGTCCCTACACCCGGGAGGCCCTTCTCCTTTGGCTCAGACATGACCTTTTCTGAGAATCCTTCTCTCAGCCCCTGGAGCAGAGCAGAGTGTCCTTTTTCAAGACATCGCTCAACTGTGGCACTTGTTACATCAAGGTGGTAGTGTTTGTTTCCTTTTATTTTATTTTTTTTTAGGGACAGGGTCTCACTCTGTCGCCCAGGCTGGGGCACAGTGTCACAGTCATAGCTCACTACAACATCACATTCCTGGGCTCAAGTGATCCTCCTGCCTCAGCCTCCTGAGTGGCTGGGACTATAGGCATATGCCACTGTGCTTGGCTAATTTTCCTACTTTTTGTAGAGATGGGCTCTCGCTCTTGCTCAGGCTGGTCTTGAACTCCCGGCCTCAAGCAATCCAACCACCTTGGCCTCCCAGAGTGCTAGGATTACAGGCTCGAGCCACCACGCCCGGCCTGGTGGTGCTTTACCCATCTTCCCTCTAGAAAATGTACCACCCTATAAAACCACTGCTTAAGGGTTTGTTACCCTTGTTTCCAGAGTGCTTGGCACATGGCAGACACCAGGACGTGTCTGTGACAACTCTAGCCCCTTCTCTGAATCTTGTGATATACACTGCCCTAATAAGGTCTTTGCAAGCATGTGGGACAAGAGGCTGGCAGAGTTAGTGTTTCTTTCCGTGAACATAAGGACAACCCACTGGAGCGTGTCCTGCCAGGGCTGGCCTGGTTTTTCTAAGCCCCTTGGCAAACAAGGGAGGCTGCTGTGCATGTGGCAATTTTTTAAATGGCCCCCAAATTCTTTGACATGCCTCCCACAGAGACGTAGGGTCTATGTATCCTCCCCTTGAATCTGGGCTCTGTGACTGACTGACCAATAGAACATGGCAGAAGTGACACTGCGCCACTTTTTGGGCCCAGGCCTTAAGGAATTGGCACCTTCCACTTTGTGTCTCTTGAGACGCTTGCTCTGGAACCCAGTCACCATCTATGAGGAGGCCCGGACTTCAGGAAGAATCCACATGGGTGGGTCCCAGCCAAAAGCCAGCATCTCCTGCCAGATGTATGAGTGATAGTACAGCCCCCAGCTGCCCAGTCACCCCCAGACTTTCATTTTTCCAACTAGGACCCCATACATTGTGGAGCAGAGATAAAACATCCCCACAGCATCCTGCTGGAATTCCTGACTCCTGATTCCTGGGAGACCAGGGACATACTAACTAATATGGTCGTTTGTATTCCTCAACAGCAGATAACTGAACAGTGAGGCAAAGAAAGGAGCCTAGGACTTGCCATGAAATGTCCAGGGCTTGTGACATGGCTGGCCCTGTCTCTTCCTAGCTGTGTGCTTCACCAGACTGAGCCCCAGTCCTCCTACCTGTCCAGCGGAGTTAATCATGGCTAACACGGGCGAAGACAAAGTGTCAGACACCATTCTAAACATTTTATGCACTGTATGAT